TATTACTATCGCTATTACCATTACTAGTGGTATGACTATTATTATTACTATCGCTATTACTATTACTATTACTATTACTATTACTAATATTATTTCTATTACTATTATTATTATTACTATGACTATGAATATGACTATGACTATTACTATTATTATTACTACTACTATTATTATTACTATCGCTATTACTATTACTATTACTATTAGTTTTACTATTACTACGACTAAGATTATTATTTTTACTGTTACTCTTACTATTACTATTACTATTAGTATTAGTATTAGTATTACTATTACTATTACTATTACTATTACTATTACTATTATTATTACTCTTAGTATTACTATTTCTATCAGTATTACTAGTACGATTACTATTACTATTACTATCACTATTACTATTACTAGTGCTATGACTATTACTATTACTACTACTATTGCTATTACTATTGCTATTGCTATTCCTATTCCTATTCCTATTCCTATTACTATTCCTATTCCTATGCCTATGCCTATGCCTATGCCTATGCCTATGCCTATGCCTATTACTATTACAAGTACTATTACTATTACTATTACTTACTATTACTATTACTATTACTATTATTACTATTACTATTACTGTTACTGTTACTGTTATTGCTACTGTTACTATTACTATTACTATTACTATTACTATTACTATTACTATTACTATTACTATTACTATTACTATTACTATTACTATTACTATTACTATTACTATTACTATTACTATTACTATTACTATTACTATTACTATTACTATTACTATTACTATTACTATTACTATTACTATTACTATTACTATTACTATTACTATTACTATTACTATTACTATTACTATTACTATTACTATTACTATTACTATTACTATTACTATTACTATTACTATTACTATTACTATTACTATTACTATTACTATTACTATTACTATTACTATTACTATTACTATTACTATTACTATTACTATTACTATTACTATTACTATTACTATTACTACTATTACTATTACTACTATAATATTACTATTACTATTACTATTACTATTACTATTACTATTACTATTACTATTACTATTACTATTACTATTACTATTACTATTACTATTACTATTACTATTACTATTACTATTACTATTACTATTACTATTTACTATTACTATTACTATTACTATTACTATTACTATTACTATTACTATTACTATTACTATTACTATTACTATTACTATTACTAGTACTATTACTATTACTATTACTATTACTATTACTATTACTATTACTATTACCATCACTACTACTATTACTATTACTATTACTATTACTATTACTATTACTATTACTATTACTATTACTATCACTATGACTATTAGTATCACTATTACTATTACTATTACTAGTACTAGTACTAGTACTAGTACTAGTACTAATTAGTACTTACTATTCGGAACCATACATTATTCGGATGGTTTCGTGCCCCTCCCACTCCCCCAGGGAAGCCCCGCCAGAGCGAGGACGGTATCGGAACCACACATTATTTACACGGTTTCGTGCCCGTCCCACCCATCCAGGGAGGCCCCGCCAGAGCGAGGACCTTATCGGAACCACACACTGTTTACACGTTTTCGTGCCCCTCCCACCCCTCCAGGAAGGCCCCGCCAGAGCGATGACGCTATCGGAACCACACATTTAAACGGTTCCGTGCCCCTCCCACTCCTCCAGGGAGGCCCCGCCAGAGCCAGGAAGGTATTGGAACCATGCATTACTTACACCATTTCGTGCCCCTCCCACCCCTCCAGGGAGGCTCCGCCAGAGCGAGGACGCTATCGGAACCACGCATAACTTACACGGTGTCATGCCCCTCCCACCCCCGCCAGGGAAGCCCCGCCAGAGCGAGGAGGGTATCGGAACCACACATTAATGACACCGTTTCGTGCCCCTCCCACCCTCCCAGGGAAGCCCCGCCAGAGCGAGGACGCTATCGGAAGCACGCATTATTTTTACCGTTTCGTGCCCCTCCCCCCCCCAGGGAAAGCTGCCAGAGCGAGGAGGGTATCGGAACCACACATTATTTTCACGGTTTCGTGCCCCTCCCGTCCCTCCAGGGAGGCCCCGCCAGAGCGAGGACGTTATCGGAACCACATATTGTTTACACGGTGTCGTGCCCCCCCTCATCCCGCTAACCCAGTTACATCATTATGTGGGGAACTCCTTCAGACATTTTGAAACGACGAATGTCCGCGGCGCCAAGGCGAGAGCCACATTTTGGAAGCATTCCGCCTTTGACTTATGAAATTGTTGCCAATTCTTTAAATCTTGAGGCTCATGAGTGGTAAGGAAGTCTCAGGCGAAACGCGTGGCCCGCCCTTCAGACTGGCCTCGGGGTGCGACGGGGAGGCGTTTTCTCATGAGGAACAGCAGAAGGAATGGAGGAGGATGAGGAGGACGTGGAGGTGGAGGAGGAGGGGCAGGAGGAGGACCTCTCCATCCTCCATTTTCCCCGGTCCTACCTAGGGTAGTGATGGTGGAAAATTAGCCCATCACGTCATCGACATCTCCGAGTCCGACGGCGACGAGCCGCGGCCGGGGAAGCGCGCGCGGGCGGCCTGACCGACAGCACCCCCCCCCGGGACCCCTGGGGTCCTCACAGGTTCATGGCGGGAGGTTTTCGCTACTTCTGGCCCCTGGGGGCCGTCACCCGCCCGCGGGACCGTCAGGAAACGACTCGGGATCGAAGCTTGGTCCCGGGGACTCGGTCCAGACCGCGGGGGGCCACGGAGAGGTGAGGGCGTCGGGGGTCTGGGGCTGGGGGTGCGTGCCAGTGCGCCCCCCCAGACGAGGAGGCGCGCAGGGGTGCGGCGCGAGAGTGGGGGCGCTCCGAAAAGCGGGCCTGGCCTGCAGGGCGCTCGAGGAGTCGGCGTTCACCTCGCCCGCCGCGCGAGCCGGCCGGCAGGCCAGCGGCCGCCAGCGGCCGCCAGCACGGGGGCGGGGCGGGGCGCACGCACGCACGCACGCACACGCGCACGCCCACGCACGCGCGCGCACGCGCACGCGCGCACGCGCACGCGCACGCGCACGCGCACGCGCGCGCGCGCACGCGCACGCGCGAGTGCAGGATGCCATGGGATGCCACTTCGCTCTCGGGCGTGGCGCGGCTGCGTCGCCGCGCCGCGCGCTCCGGCGCGCGGCCGCCCCGGCTCGGGGAGAGAGCGCCGCGGCCACCGGGGCAGGCGCATACGCGGGCGCAGGGGCCTGCCGTGGGTGTGCCGGGGGGCTGCCGCGGTGTCGGCCTCGGCCGCCTGGGCGCGTGCCAAAGCAACGGCGCGGCGGCAGGCGCCGCCTCGGGCGCAGAGGGGCCTGCCGTGGGTGAGCCGCGGGTTTGCCGCGGTGTCAGCCTCGGCCACCGGGGCGCGTGCCAAGCCAGCGGCGCGGCGACGCGTGCTTTTTGGGGGGCAAGGAGTGTGGAGATGCACTGGCTGCACTGGTCGGGGCCTGTGCAGCAGGCAGCTGTCCTCCCGGCCAGCGAGGGCGCGCAGCCTGGGGCGCAGCCGGTGGGGCGGGCCGTTCTGCCCTCGGCCGCCGAGTGCGACAGGAGGCCCGCCGCGGGTTCGGCAGCAGAGGGCGTAAGACCTGTGGCGCACTCTGCGGCAGGCGCCGCCCAGGGCGCAACCCCTGGCGCAACCCGTGGATGGCGCAGCCCATGGCGGCGCCGCCCGCGGATATGGCGCAACCAGAAGCGCAACGGCGCTATCCAGAGATGGCGCAGCCCACGGCGCAGTGGATCGCGCAGACCCTGGATCGCGCAGCCCATGGCGCAGCACACGGATGGCGCAACCCCCGGGGGGGGGCGCCTCGCCTTCCCCAGGGTCGACTTTTCGACCGGCCCCCCCCTTCTTCCAGTTTCTCCTCCACTCCCGCTTCGTGGCAGGCAACGCCATCTGCTGGAGGCATCCGCCCTCCGCCAGATTGTGGTCGAGGCCCGTTCCGTGTCGGTGTAGGCGGCGGGGAGGGATCGACCTGGCGTGCAACGCTGTGCCTCCACGGCCGTTTTTCCCAGGGCCAACTTTTCGACCCGGGGGCGGCTCTCCTTGCCCAGTGTCAGCTTTTCGACGCAGGTCCCTCACCGTCCCGCGCGGCGCTTTGTGGACCGCTCGCTCGTGGCTTCTTCGGCCGTTGGCCCCCCCCCCGTCTCCCGCCTCCCTGCGCTTCCTCTCCTCTCCTCCCCCCTCATCTCCTCCCCCTCCCCCACCTCCTCCTCCTCCTCCTCCTCCTCCTCCTCCTCCTCCTCCTCGTGGCTTCGTCCGTTGGCCCCCCCCCCCACCCCCCGCTGGATCACGAGCCCCTGAGTGCGCCACCCGTGGCGCAAGCCGTGGGTGGCGCAGCCCATGGATCTCGCACGGCCCGCGGCGCAAGGCACGGCGCATCCCGTGCATCGCGCTGCCCATGGTGCGTTTTTGCATGTGTGGCGCACGCCCCTGGCAGTTTTTGCATGGGGCGCTCCAGAAAAAAGGCCTTGCCTTTGAGGATTGAAGGACTTGGCATCTCATCTGCAGCGGAAAGCGGCGAAAGGGCGGCGGAAGGTAGGCGGAAGTAAAACGTGGCCGCCACCGCCGGCGGAAGGCTGGCGGAAGGCGGCGGAAGTAAAACGATGCTTCAAAGAGATGGCAGCATTTTTGGGTTCAGGGTTTCCGAAATCGGTCACATGGTTTCGCCTGGTTTATGCCCGTCGTTTTGGCTGGCCGTGGGGCCCAAGCGGCGAGCTGTTTTGTCATTCGATTCCCGGTTTCTAGAGCGAGCCAGCAGCTGAAAGGCACGTGATGTCTTTGCCTTCATTGACTGCCCAATTGTCGTTGCGGTATTTCCGGAGCAGCCTGACACACACGCGCAGACGTGCATGTTGACACGTCGCACAGGGCAGACGGTCGAACAGATAGAGACAGGCAGGCGTGGTACCACACAAGACACAGGCCTTCAGGCTGACAGGGAGAAGGAACGGAAGAAACAACGAGAAAGAGGAGGGCGAATCGATGGGATTTGCTCGTTCTCTTGCTACTGTCTTTCTGTGGCGATTCTGCGGCCTCTGCTGCAGCGTGCTATCGCCCACGCCAGCGCAGCGGGGCTCAGAGGGGTGAGCGCGGCCGCGCCTGCTGGATGCCGAATGGTCCTCGCCGGTGCAATTTCGCGCCCCGCCCTTCGCCCCCCCTCTACAACTAACCAATAGGAGTACTACTCTCCCTCCTCCCCTGAAGTTCTCCGGAAGATCTCCCGCCCCCTCCGCGTGCTGTTTTTACACAGGATTTCAAGCTTTGATTTTTGCAGATGTTTTTTTGGAAATCCGATTGTTGTCGGTGTTTCAAAATGTTGCTCCCGCTGCAGCGTGGGCCTCATTAAAAAATGGCTCTCTCGCCCAAGCGCGGGCTACTTTTCTGGATCCGGGTCTTGCTTCATTGTGGTTCCCCCTCTTATTTCCCCTCCTCCGCCTTCCCCTGTTCCTCCCGCTCATTTCACTCCAGTTCCTGTTGCTGCTGTTCGTCTCGCTCCAGCGCGGGCCACTTTTCTGATTCTGAGTCTCTCTTCATCGTTGTCGCCCCCCTCAAATCCCATCCGCCATCCCCTGATCCTCCTTTTCCTCCTGATCCGGTCGCTCAAGTTCCTGCTGCTGTTGATCGTCCTCATTCTTTTCCTTCCGCTCATCCTCCTGCTCACCCACCACGTCCTCCTCCTCCTGTGCACGCAGCTCCCCTTTCTCCGATTGCGCACAACTCGAAATGGCCTTTCTGTTGGAGTCGCAGGTCGGCTATTACACGCGTCCGCGGACAGAGAAAAAATCCCCCCCCCCCCCCATGGGAAGGGATGGGAGGGAGGGATGGGATGTAAGATGAGTCGCGGGCGCACCTAGCTTGTCCTCTCCTCTCTTCTTCCTTCCCGCCTTCTCCACTTCCCCCTTCCCCCCTCCCCCTCCCCCTCCCCCTGTACGTCCTCCTGGTGGCTCGACGGGACGAGAGGGCGTCCCTGCCCGCAGCCAGCGACTGCCTCCCCCCCCGCTCCTTGGTACCCTGGGGCCCTCGCGGAGATCCTCGCCCGGACATTCCCGCCAACGGGAGGAGGAGGAGGAGGAGGAGGAGGAGGAGGAGGAGGAGGAGGAGGAGGAGGAGGAGGAGGAGGAGAGGAGGAGGAGGAGGAGGAGGAGGAGGAGGAGGAGAGGAGGAGGAGGAGGAGGAGGGGGGAGGAGGAGCAGGAGGAGGGGGGGGGATGGGGAGGGGGAGGGGGAGGATGAGGATAGGAGGAGGAGGAGGAGAGGAGGAGGAGGAGGAGGAGGAGGAGGAGGGAGGAGGAGGAGGAGGAGGAGGAGGGAGGAGGAGGGGGAGGATGAGGAGGAGGGAGGAGGAGGAGGAGGAGGAGGAGGAGGAGGAGGAGGAGGAGGAGGAGGAGGAGATTTTTTTTTGCCGCTGCGCTACTCTGCCGCGAGTCATCGCGGTCCTCCTGGCGGCCAGCCAGGCAGCCGTCGAGCCCGACACTTGAGACGCTGCCAGCGCAGGATTGTTCCGTGCACGCTGGCCGACCCGCACAGCAGGCCACGCGACAGGGCCATGCCCCCGTGGCGAGAACACCAGGAGGCTCGCCCGTCGGGCGTCAATCGAATAACCGAACCACGCTGAGAGCATCCACGTCGAGCCAAATAGAGTCGCTCTTCGGGTGCTTGCCAGAGAGGAGACGGTTCCAGTAGGTGGTCGACGAGCGGGGACAGTGCGGCTTACCGTTGCAAGCTTTGTTGAGATAGCGCACTTGCCCCCCCGTCGAGAAGGCCTTGCACTTCAGGCAGATACACAGCGCGCTGCCGTCGGAGCAAGACAAGGCAATACATTTGTGGCCAAGTTCTATGAGCTTAGTGTCATAGAGCTTGTGGGTTTGACGGCAGATACTGTTGGGGGGCCAACAAGACCTGGTCACCCGCAAACATTGCTTGCACTGCCAGTAGCCGTCCCTATGCACCCAGGAGTGGCGAATCTTGGGAGCGGGCACAACAGGCTCCCGCTGCTCGCGCGTGGCCTGCGACAGATCACACGCGGGCCAGAGCGGAAGCACCCTGGCAGCCAGCACACAAACTTTCTTGGAAATAGAGAGGGCTCGGTCGAGCCACTCGGACTGCTCGGGGTTCGGCTTCTCGTGAGCTAAAGCCCCAAGCTTAGCGTAATGATCGGCCAGGTCGTTCCCAACCTTACAAAAGCGCAAATGGTCATCCCCCTGGGCCTGCTCTTCGGTCATGTGACCCTTGACCTTACAAATCTGGCCCATTTTTGAATCAGCCGTCCACACAAACATACCAGCGTGCACCCGTTTGAAAGACAACTGTTCAGAGCGGGGGAGGGACCAAACCTGCACAACATTCTGACAGTCACTATATCCACATGACGGGTCCAGGGCGTTCTGGCAGGCCGCCGTGCAAGCAGCGAGCTCACCAGCCTGAGCCGTTTGCGGGATGGGGAGGGGGAGGGGAGCGTACACATGACCCAACTCCTGCCCAGAATCGGAAACCGAAACGTACGACCACCCCGTCCGCGACAACTCCCGAATGACAGACCTGATACACGATCCGTCCATAAATATATGCCCTTTCACAAAGTAATCATCACGCAAGGGGTCACTGGCATGATGTACAGTAGGTTCAGCAACGGTAGGGGCTGGAAAGAAATCACCAGGATGAGACATAATCCCCATGGTATACAGAACCTGATCGTGCTTTGATAGGGATGACCAGGCCGGTGGATGGTACTGAAAGTCATCACCTAAAAGCTCGCGGCGCATCTCGGCGCAGGACTCGTGCACGCACTTCCACAACCTGTGGAACATCGTGTCCTGCTCCTTGCCGCACAGAGGGCAGAGCAGGTCGGGCAAAATGTAGCCGTGCTCTGACGCTCTAACCTTGGTCCACGGAGCCTGACAGACGAGCCCGCGGATACAACCTTTCTCCCAAGGCGTGAACTTAGACGAAGCCATAGCTCGGAGCGGCACGTCTAAGCAAGCACGTCGCTCGAGACCAAGGCTGTCACCGTAGGCACGCTCGTGATATCTCAAAACGGCGAGACGCAGCAGACGTTTGAGGAGGGCTGGCGAGACGAGCGTAAGCTGAACCTCCACCCCCAAATCGTCCACCAAGGTCGAGAAAGAAGGCATCTTCCACCCAAGACGCTCCACCGACAGCCTAAGGGCCCTAACAGGGCCCCCAATCTGCTTCCAGGAGGGGGGAGGGCCCGCAAACACAAAACTCCAAGCCCCCCTAAGCTCGGCCAAGCTGAGGCCAAACTCGAAAGAGGCCGTCAGGCTGGCCCAGATCTCTTTGGACCAACGCACAATCGGGGCCACAGAACAATACCACGTGGGGTCGGCGGCGAACAGCAAAGCTGCAGTCAGAGAGCGGCCTCCAGCCGTGGGGCTGAGAAACCGTCCAAGAGAGCGCCGCAGACTCGCCAACTCGTGGTCGGAGGTGCCGTGCACCTCACAGCCATAGGTTCTGCTGGCCAAGGGGCCACTCGTATAGATTCGCTTGGCGTGTCTCCCCAAAGCATCCATGTGAATTCTGATCCGATGAATTTTGGTTTTGAAGGACTTCTTACGAATCTGAATCTTAGCTCCTCTCCTGGCCGTCCTCCGAGGTTTGCCTGCTGCGTCGTCGATGCCCAGGTTGACAGCAGATGCGCAAGGAGCTCCGCCCACAGCGCCAAGGCCTCGGCGAATCTCCTTAGCCACGAGAGAAGCTGAGGCGACCACAGCCGCCTTACTAACTGAAATTGAACAGCCTAGATCGGACTCGATGGCCACCTGCAATCGGAAAGCGGCTTCGATCAAGTCCTGGACGACGGCCCTGGGAGCCCCCGTGCACGACAAGGTGTAATCATCGATGTAAACTCTCAACGAGACCGATCTAGGGATGCTAAGGCCATCTAAGGCCGCTAGCGTGAAGACGCGAATGAAAGTGGTGGCGAATCCGCACCCAGCTATCAAGCCTCGCCAAGCAAACTGCGGGCCCTCCACGCGGCCGTTCATGGCCATGTAGCGGCACGAGCGACAGGCCTCGTAGCAGACCCTGGCAATCTGCATGGGAAAGGAATGCTGGCGACAACGAGCAAGGAGCAAGTCGAGGTCCACAGCCTCGTAGAATTTCAGAAGATCCCACAAGACCGACCCAGAACAGTCCTTCGAAGCAACAGCAACCTCGCTCCTCACTCCTTGCCTCCAGACGGTATCGACACTGGAGGCGAAAGCGCCAGCACAGAAATATTCTCGAGCATTGGCCGCTTCCCACTGCCGAGCAAAGTCTCGCCTGGCACGGGCCCACAGACGATACAGAGCAACGAACAATCCGATCGGGCGGTGCCCTCCATCGGGCTTAGCGAGCATGATCAGCAGCACAACTCTCATCTGGCCAGACAGCAGACCCGAACATTCCCGGATCGCGATCATGATCGCAAGCACCTGCAGGGCAGGGTCCGACAGATGCTGAAACGACCGAACGTGAAACCCATCGACAGACGAGGCGGTGCGAGCAGGGAAAGAGCGGGCGGCCCGACGAAGATCCTCGACCGTGAGCTCAGGCAGAGGCTCGAGGGGCTCGAAACTAGCGCCAGGTGGGCGCGGCTCGGGAAAAGGTTGAGCGTGCCAGATCCGCGCAAATTTCTCGAGCTCAGACGATAAGAGGGCCCCAGGGTCCGACACCACCTCACCTTTGGCCGACAGGGTAGTAGAGGGGGTCCACCCAGCAGCTCCCCGAATCACCCCGTGGGCGTGACGGGCTCCGTTTTCAATATTATGACGAATCCATTCCAACCAGTTCTTATGATCCTCGTGACGAGACTTGCTCTCAGCCGCCGCCAGGGCCTGGGAGACCATATCGAGCACACGTTGGGGTTCCCCCTCAATGTTAGATTGGCTTGGGGGGCTAAAAGTCACAATATCTTGAACAGCCTGGAGGAGAGTCAATGGCTCACCATCCCAGGTGCCCAGTCTCGACGGAGGGTGGAACAGCTCGCCCGCAGTATCTCGTAGGTGTTGCTGCCGACGCTCCTCCGAGCTGGACGCGCTTGCCACGGTGCGGGAGCTATCGCTGACCCCCGCAACGCTGCACCGTTTTTCTTCACCGCTACAGGCAAAAGGTGGGGAGGA